AAATTTTGTTGCCATAACACACTTCTTTTAGCTTATTTCTTATGAAGTAAAAATCTCTACGGAATCGGATAATTTTGCTTTAAAAAATATCACAATAAAATTATTTGCTCCTTACTTACACAGTACGGATATAATCGAGTTCAATCATATTTTGCTTCGTAGAAGTAATATTTCGCCATGAGACTTTTTTTAAGTATGTTTTACAAAACTAGAAGGATCTATACTGAATTATAATAAAATAAAATTATTTATACCTCAACCGAATTATAATAACAAATATCAGAATAAATTTTTATTTTATCTTGTTTCTCAAAAAAATCGTTACGTAGAGACTCGCAAACGATTTTTCTGATTATAAATGTCGCAATTATATTATTAATTTTCTTAATATTTTAGCTATAATTTAGTTGAAATTTCCGATTTTTATAATTTACTCTTTATTTTTTTCTAAATACGAGATCTATTTCTAGATATTAATATTAATTTCTAGATACTAATTATTATTCTGTTCTAGATTTTTTTTATCTTCTAAATACTTTTTATTTCTTAGAACTGAAAAAGATCGAAAAGTAAACAGAGAGTAAAAGTAATCTACATTGATAAAAATAGATATACGCCATGCAACAAAAAAATAAAATATTAGGAACGATAAGTATAGATAAACTAACTGAATTTGTACGTAAAATTCAAATTCCTCAAATATCTCTGTACATTGACATCTGACATTGATGTTAGCAATTAACTTCTACGAATATTTGATATATTTCTCCACATATTTTTCGAAACTTTTTAATTTGCTCAATTTCTTTAATTAACTTCTTAATTCTTTTATTAACTGCTAAGAACAAACACTCAAAAAAAAAGTGTTTTATTTTAAGATATTAAAATGTTTTATTCTTGTCTCCATTTTTTAAATACTTAAAGATATTTTAGTTTTCTCTCAAATAAACAAAATATTATGTTCGAATTTGAAACACTATGCGTTTTCAATCCAAACACATAGTATTTCGTTCATTGAAAAAGTTTAAAATTAAAACGTCTTTAAATGGAGATAAGAATAAAACATTTTAATATCTCAGAATTAATATTTTTTTTTTTACAGTAATAATCGAGCCAATTACTTCTGTATGAGAAGTTAGTAAGTGTCCGCAACAATATCTTAAAATGATGAAAAAAAATTCTTATTTCGTAAGGCAATTGCATTATTGCAATTTTCATTCACGAGCAGAGAAAGCGGGCTTGGATAAGATTTCTGGAAACTGATGCAAGGCTCCGCTCGTATTGTCAATTTCTCTCCGCGCTAATTGCGCGCGTTTCACTCGGAATGCACGCACACACGTGGATGGGATGACAAGATAAAAACAATTTCTTGAATCCTCTTAGGCGGATATCAGACTACGCATTGAAGAATGAAGATTGAAAGACTGAAGTTTGACCAATCAGAACAAAAGAAGCCAAAACTTCTTTGTCTTCATTGCTGAAATTTCAATCTTTAATCTTTAATCTCAATCTTCAATGAATAATCTGATTTCGGCCTTACTGGCTGCATCATAAATCTTCATTCACTCTGTATATATACATAAGCTAGATACATTTAAAAAGATCACACGTTATCTGATAATGACAGCTCGTAAAAATGTTAAGTCATTGTTTTGCACTTATATCATTCGCGGAAATAATCGAATCGAAGAAATAATCAAGTCCTACATGAGACGTAATCTTTTCTATGTTCTTCTCAGTAATCATTTTAAAAGTCATTTATTTTCGCACGTGCTCGACACAGTCGATAAGGTCGGAAGAATTAAAAAGTCTGATGAGTCATATAAACTCATCTCCCGACACCTCCTAGACTAGATTTATAGTCCATTCTTATCTCATGTCTTAAATAATGGGCGCGTTCAAATCAATAAAGTGATTAGATGTGCTTGCTAAGCAATGAAACATTCGTTGGATCCACAAGTAAGAATCAATTATGCTCATTCGCTCGGCCTAGCCGCTTTCCCTTGAACTCGCCCATTGTCTTAAAATGCTGATACCTAATATGGCTCTCTAATTGATTTCGGTGATATATAATGCGTCACATACAATATACGCAGTAAGAAGAATAAAAAAGTGATCTATTACAATCGAATATCAGAAGAATAATCGATGTAATTGTATAATCAATTTCTTTTCTTCTTACTCCGTGTGTATTGTAGACAACGCATTATAACTTAAGAGTATACTTAAGATCTTGATAAGAAATGACTGTATGAGTCTTATACTTGTTTCTATCATAGATGAATTTTAATTTTAATTTGCTCTTCATCTTTTTCAAATTTTTAGAATTAAAGAAAAGTAAAGAGCTGTTAAATCAAAATTAATAAGAACGGGCATTAAGCCTGGTTAAGTAAATGCCAATGTAAGATTAGAACTTTAATCTCAGTTTGACTTACTGTTTATTTTTTTTCTAAAAGTAATAAATATACTAAATTAATTAAGTAAATAATTGGACTCTTTATAGTTGTATATAAAAAATAATTTGCAAAGGGGAGACATATGCATTCCCGTATGTTGAATTCCTCTGTTCCTATGATCGCTATCGCTGTTACCTCCGCATTGTGTTTCGGGCTTTACAGAAATTTTATCTGCGGCAACCTTAAGACCTATTCTAACAATAAAGTCATAAGCGGTAAGTCATAAGAAATTAACCAATCATAGTCAATTATTCTTCTCACACTTAACTGTGATTAGTTAATTTCTTATAGCTTGCGACTCTGTTGTAGAACAGGCTTAAGTCTTATCGGTGAGGTTGATAGCCAACTTATACGACTAACGTTGATTGGCCAATTTTATGATTAAGGCCTAGTTCCACAACTGACGGTTCAACTTATTTATTGTTTCTTTCCAAATTTAGAACTGGAAAAGATGAGAAACAAGATGAATCTCGGCTAAGAGTTAATCATGAGTTGTGAAACTGAGTCTAAGGCCCAGTTGTATCAATGTCACTTTAACTTTGAGCGAAACTTAAAAACTCTATCTGTCTCGCTTTAAAACCAAAAAGAGACAGAGACAGAAAGAGTTTTAAGCCTCACTTAAAATCAAAGTAACATTGCAATCGAGTTTAAGACTAATAGCGAATTCGATTTAGTACGCATTGATGCACATTAAAGCCATCGTACACAAAAAAAAAACATAAAAATATATTTGTAAATAAACATAGAAATCGATTAAATCGTGAAAAATACTCAATACATTTTATTGGTTTACTTTATTTGGTAAAATATATATTTTATAATTCGAAATATTTGTATTTCACTTTTATATTCACTTTCAAATTGAATCAGTGTACAGCGGCTTTGATATGCACCAGTATGCACTAGTGCTTCCAATTGAATTCATTATAAAACTTACGGTTACAGACTCATTGTAGAATCAGCATTAAAATTAATGGATGCATTCAGTACTAAAGGAAGCATTCGCTCACTGAGCGCTCAGTTGTTCACCTTTTTCTAATTCTTAAAATTAGGCTCAATTTCACAATTCACAGTTAACTGTTAATCGAGGTTCAGATTTATTTATAATTCTTCTCATTTTATCTATAATTCTAGAATTGGAAGAGAAGGAAAATAAGTTGAGGGTAAGAGTTAACCCTGAGTTGTGAAGTAGAAAAGTATATAAAATAAACAGTAAGTTAAACCGAGATCAAAATTAACAGTTTCAACCGAGTTTGTTTTGAACGTGACATGTTTTAATCACGCGATATACAAACGGAAAAGGTGCTGCTTACGTGTCACAGGAAGATACGACCGTTCAATGTAAGTGGAATCATGCACCGTTAATTTGACTTTATTGATATATAACAGCGATAACATAAAATATATAATATTTGTTCTAATTTGGTAATCTATTGATAAGCTAACTTCTATGAAATTATCAAATCTCTAGAACCAAAATAAATTACGTTATTTTTAATTATAAATTAAAAATACAGAACGCGCGTAATATATTCAAGAAAATCTCTCATCTAACGATTGCAAAATTCGTATCATCATCACGCGACTACGAGCTTCTAATGTCACGTAATCGTGGTCTCTCCCCGTCGAAACCTCAAGCTCCTTCTTCGACGGGTCGTTATCCCCACCGCTTTATCACCTGTCGGAATGCGGTTCAAAATTTACCTTATAATGGCCGAGCGGTTCGGATAAACGAAAGCTGACTCCTGTTACCAATAGCGACAACCACGTGACAGAAGTTGCATCCAGCTGCGTCTAGTAAATGTGCACTAATTCAAGAATTCAACTTTCACGATTTAGAACGATGACGAATACGAACGTCGCGTAAGTGATCCGGTACGATCCGGTCACGATCGGCGAACGTCGGCGATATCACCGTTGTTCTTTTTTTGCTGTCATTCTTCCGAGCAAAAAACTACAGAATGGTTGATAAAAATGGGCGCGCATTAGTCGACAACGACGCCGCGAGTGGCGATGCTTGGAAGCGCGCGGTTGACGCGCGAAATTCAAACGATCTTTTTCTTGTAAAAAACAAAAGAATTAAAACCCACGTCTCGTATCATCTTTATTAATTATTTGCAAGCGTATGTTAGCTATTTAAATGACCGTTTTTATCTTAATTTCTTATCTTATCATATTTTGCTTACGGTGTATTTGGGAAGTGCCAATGCTGTTGTCATTCTATTTTAATTATTCACTAGATGTAAAACAAGATGACATTATTTTAATATTAGCTTTTTGTTCAGTTATTCCACGTCTAATAAATAATAAAGATAGAATGACGTAATATGCTTTTGATGCTTATATGCTTCCTAAACAAAATAACAAATAATAAATTTGTTTTCTATAGTTGAATTAGTATACACTTTTTGAAACATTTTTTGAAACACTTAAAAAATAAAATAGATATGTATTTAAGACGATCTTAAATACAAGAACTATAAATCGACTAGTCCTTAATAGTATCAGCTTGTTTACTGGGGAGAATTATAGAATGAGACTCGATCGATAGCACTCTTCCCAAATTTAATTCTTAAATATATTTATCAATTCCACTGTCACGTCGGACATTTGGAGCACTTTGGCATTCTCTGTCGCTTCATTTCGGTCTTCGAGTGTTTTTTCAAAGCTGGAAAAAACTACAATGAATAATTTATCCTCACTTTGTGCTTATCGAACTACATCTATTTTGCCACGTCGATGCGACGTTACGGATTCGAGATTTCTACTCACTTATCGTCCCCAAACCGATGTTGATCGGCTCGAGTTTCAAACTTTGCATTTCCCGCAAAACCATCGCATGAAAGGAGAGCGCGGCGACCCGTGTAAACAATTCGAACACTCCGTTACCTGTTCTCGACGAGACCGCCCAATATTCCGCTCGCATTCTCCTCGCCGCTTCAATCGCCCGTTTTTCGATTATTTCGTATACTGGATGAGTCTGCCATTTCCCAAAAGAAAAAGCGATTAATAAAAGATAGTATATTCATAGTCAATTTTTACATTTAGATTTTTTAAGACGGTCATAAAGTTACAGCAACAATCTTTATGGGCTTTCTATAATAAGCTATTAGTCATAAATTAGAAAATCAGAAGCTAAAAATTGACCAATCACAGTCGTCAATTTTTAACTTCTAACTTCTGACTAATGGTTTATTATAGAAGCCTATAAGACCAAATTATTCTTTGACTTAAGTTATAATCTTAAAGATCAACTTATATATTAATCAATGATAACATAAACAACTTAAGACATTACTTAAGACGTTAAATATATAAGAGTACCAGCCTACAATATTATCAATACTTACTAATAGATCTTTTTTAGCGCCGACTAGAAAAATATGATAAGAACCAACGTTGCTGCGACTTGCTTCGTTCAACCATTGCTGGCAATGCATCAGCGACATCAAGTTTCCCAAGTCGAAAATGATCATGATTACTAAAATAAAATAACACGCGTAAGAATTGTAAGCTAATTAACAAATTAACCGGATAAAATTGTGCAGAAAAAGAAATTTTTTACCATTAGCACCGCGATAATAAGACGCCGCTATGCACTTGAACCTTTCTTGACCCGCGGTATCCCATCTGCAAGTGATATCTCAAATTACTACATTACATACTATTCACTTGTACGAAAAGAACAATTTTATATAAATATCTTAAATATCTTAAAATTTAGCTAAGATATCTAAAAATTTATCTAGCTAATTTGAAAATAAGTTTTTGTTAGATTATCAAAATAATTGCGTAAATAATGTTCAAGCTGATTGCTAGAATGTCAAAATTTTTTACAGCATTATATGAATTTTCTACATAATTATTGGTCCGATAAAATTATTTTTAGATCTAGACAATTTTTTAATATTTCATAAAACTCATTCTGTCAGTATAAATATTTCTGAAATATTAAATTTATTACATCTGCAAATGGAAAGGCACGCCAAGGATGTCGAATCTCTCCACCTCGAAATCCACGCCGATAGTGGCCTTGTAATTGTTGTCGAAGAGCCTGTGACAGAAGCTGCGCAAAGTGATCACTCGTTTTATTGTTCAAATTTTCAGGTCGCGGAAAAGCCATCAAATTGACTCCGTAAAGAATAATCAATTTTTTCCAAAATTGTACTAAACGATGGAGATCGCGTTTGCCGATCAATTATTACCGGTTCACCAACGATGTCTTGCCGACGGCGACGTCGCCTATGACGATCACCTTAGAAATTCGGAGAGTCAAGCTCTTGTTCTCGCAAGTCCGTCTGATCAAAGTGCCGAAATCATTCTCGTTATATGGTGTGGTTTCAGATGAGAATGGTGGTGGCCAATCGGTTATCTAGAAGATAAGTGAAGATCACAATCTATTTTTACTCATAAAATCGACTTTAATTTTGATTTGATTTAATTTTTATTTTCTTCTAAGGATTAAAAAAAAGTAAATTAAATCAAGATTAAAAAATTAATCTACATTAGTGAGTTTTTACTCACTAAATTTTTTAAAGAATCTCACTCTAAGTAAAAATCGAACCAATCTTGAAAAAGAGTGGCTCAATTTTCAATCTTTAAAAATGAGATTTCACTCTTTAGAGTAATAAGATTGACTCTAAAAATTGTAGAAAGTACTAATATAGATAAACTTCAATCTCGATTTAATTTACTTTTCAGTCTTTTCTAATTCTTAGAAGTAGAAAAAAGTTAACTAAGATTAAAGTTAATAGAAAAAGGCAGTAGATTATTACAATGTAGATTAATTTCAACCTTGGTTTAACTTACTTTTTATCTTCTTCTAGTTATACGTATTAGAAGAAGATAAAGATAAAAACGAGATTGAATTTAATTACATTAATAAAAATGGGTCAGAGAAAGATACGTACATTAAATCGTTCGAGCATCAAAAATTAATTCGAATAATTCCTACCTGCCTCTCATCATTGGCTTCTTCTTTCATCATTTTGTAAGTCGCGGAGCGCGTTTCCATCATTGTTCTCTTCGAATCAGAACGCTTAATGAAACAATAAGAACGCGCTCTCTTTCTTCACACATGTGTCACTGTAATTTTTGCAATTGCATATTATTGATTGCGTTTTATTTGCACACTGTTGTTTGAGATTGACTATGAACAAAGACTCACTGTTCAACGTTCACTGGTTTGGAGCAAAACGCAATTGATTCCGCATGACTAAACGGAAAACATTGGTTGCTGTGGCAGGTGTTTCATTGTGATATATGGGGGAGGCTCATACGGGCATAATTGTGAAAACTAATGTGTAATCTGAAATAAATTATTATGTAAAAAAAAATATATATATATATAATAAATTTCTATATCTCTTATTCAGAAAAAATATGTCAAAAAATGTACAAATTTCTATAAAGACAATATATACAAAAAATATAAAAATTTCATAAATTGTTCTATTACGTTTAAGTATATACATGTGTAAAATTTGAACACAGTTTTCTTATTAATTTAAAAGTTTTTAAATTTTTGTTTGTTTTGATTCTAATAAAATCGCGTTTTACACAATACTTAATATTTGCAAATTTGATGAAAAAATGTAACATTAAATTAAATTAAGTTTTGAAATGTCACATATATATATTAATAAAACAATAATAAATATTCATGCAAAAATTTATTTACTCGAATCTACTTATTCGTTTAAAAACATTGACCTAAAACTACAGCAAAATGTGACCATTATAGCCAAATTATTTATTATTTTGCTTTTTGCAATAGATTTAGGATGTATAATTCACAGATTATCATCAAAATTTATTTAATATTAGCTGATATTACCCAGTTTCTTAATATTTTTAGCATAATATTGCACAGCCAAACCGATTCCACCTGATTCCACTGGTTGAATAAAAAAATCACTAATTGATCCGGAATTTGAACAGAGTCGCCCTCTTCCTTTTCGTCGATCAACGACTAACGTAGTCAGAATTTGCATTTCCGCCACGGACGAGGATTGACGTTCCTTTCTAGCAAGATGGCTCCGAAACCGAAGCCCACGGAAAAGGCAGGTAGGTTTAAAAGTAATTCGTGATGTTTGTCTTTTTTTCTAAGTGCACGTTTTTAAGTTGAAAAGGCATTTTTCGAAATCATCGATCAATACAAATGTAGCGTATTAACGTCGCGTAGTTCGGGATCGAGGAACACGATCCAGAACCATGTGGTCGACTATACCCACGTTTTCTTATATCTTATTTACGATTTTCAGAAAAATCGTTTCATGTAATTTTATCCATCCGGTTTTTATTCACTGTGTCAACGAATCTCACCTGCCACATTGTTTGTTCAATCATTAATTGATGTAAGATTCGCGTTATATATCATAACCTAATTTACAATGTGCTACAATTTGCTTTTTTACCTCTTTTTGCTACTTGCCCTGTTTCTTCGTTTCTTATCTTTCAAGAAAATTGACAAACTTTGGGAGAAATAAAATACATATGACAACAAACACAATTGTCATTAAAATGGTCGCAAAGAAAAGAAAGAAAGGAAACAGGTAGTCGATTATGTATTTTGAAACAATATGAAAATTATAAAAGTGAGCAAATTCATTAGATGTTGACTGTAATGAAATTATAAATACTCTAGTGATTTTGCTCAATTTTGTAATTTTCACCTCATTTGAAGATACACAATCGATTAGCAGGAAGCAAACAATACATTGTGTAGATTAAAAAGGTAGACTGGAGAATTAGGAAATAGAAAATTTTACTTCAAAAGTACTGTATTTTTGAGAATAAATTTACTTTAAATCTTTGTTTTTTTTTTTTATGTATCCATTTGACTATTGATCCAGTTCTATATTACTTTCTTTTACAGGTAAGCCTGCAGAGAAGAAGACAGAGAAGAAGGCTGAGAAGAAACCAGCTACAGCAGCAGCATCTACTTCGAAGGTGACAAAGCCTGCGGCCAAGCCTGCGGCTGCAAAGAAGCCGGCAGCTGCCAAACCAGCAGCTGCCGCTAAGCCAGCTGCCAAACCTGCAGCTAAGCCTGTGCTTAAGCTTGCCAGCAAGCCGTTGATTAGCAAACCCAAGAAAAATGTACAGGCTACCAAAAAGACCCCGAAGGGTGGAAAGCCAGCGACTCCAGTTCAGAAGGCTCTCAAGGCTCAGAAGAAGGTACTTGAAATAGAAATATTTATATATATATAAGTTAAAAATAATGTTAATTTAACGACATATTGATTAATTATTGCTCGAATTTATGTTACCTTTTTGTCATGATTTAGTCAATTTGGACTTGTTCCTTGAGAGACACATTGTCTTTTTCAATGATGAATTTAAATGTGGGAATCTCTTTGAATTTCCGTGAAAATAACTTTTTAACATAGTACTGAATAATTAACGAGTCTACTATATGCAAGAATGTATCAAATATTATGAATTTAACAGTCACATTTATTACTTTCACAGATCTTGAAAGGAGTACATGGCTCCAGGGTACGGAAGATTAGGACGTCCGTTCACTTCCACAGGCCCAAGACTTTCAGGCCACCTAGGAATCCCAAATACCCGCGCAAATCTGTGCCGAACAGAAATCGGTAGGGTTTACATGAAATTCATTCGAAACTTCATAAATAAATATGTATATATGAATTTTTTTTGAGAAATCATTGCATCTTTGTGATTTGTATTTCAGTATGGACGCATTCAACATCATAAAATTCCCATTGACGACGGAAGCGGCGATGAAGAAGATTGAGGACAACAATACCTTAGTCTTTATCGTACACGACCATGCCAACAAATATCACATCAAGGCATCGATTAAGAAGCTTTACGATGTCGATGTAGCAAAGGTGAATACTTTGATGAGGCCGGACGGCAGAAAGAAGGCATACGTGCGTCTAACGCGCGATTATGATGCGCTCGATGTCGCCAACAAAATCGGCATCATATAATTTCTATCTCATCTTTTTGTTTAAAAATAAAATAACGTCTTGTACTGATATAATAAAAAGATATCAATACGGAGAAAGATTAGATTTTATTCGTTACTTCGCAATCCTTGCTTGAGATAAGTAAACAAAAATTTATAAATTAATAACAAAAAGATTTACTTTATTAGTTTTAAGATACAGTCGACTGAGTGAAAAGAAATATCGACTGTCGATATTTCCTCACTTCTCAAGAATATTGCCATCTGTTGCTAATAGTAGGACATGTATGCTTCCGTCTGATTAGATTAGCTATCTTGGCAATGTCAGTAAGAGGCGTCAGCTGAAGTTTGATGGAATAACAATAATGGATTGGATACTGTATAGAAACAAAGTAATATGAGATATAGTTATTTATGTTTGAATGCATAAAATAATAATAATAATATAAAAGATTCGTATCATAATTATATATATAAAAAGTACAAACATATAATATAAACAAGGTAAGTTATTACATGTCAAAGAAATTTTTAAAAGCAATAAGAATTTTAATATGATTATTATACTCTATAAATTTATAATGCATATGTAGTAATCATAAAAATTCTAATTAGAGTGCCTCTAACAATCATCACAAATTGCCAACTTTAATAAATAAAAATGATCGAGGCACCGACGTGGAACTCCAAAAAAGATGAAGGCATCTATAAAGCCGCAGGTGCTATGCATCTTCGAAAGTACGGAGAATTCTTTGAGAATCTGGTGGAGGAATCCTGGAAGGGTGATTCAACGTTAGAGTATATTATAGAAGGTCCTCTACGTCTAGTCTACAAATCGACAGAAGATATTGGCATTCTGTCCTTGGTGGAAATGGAAAACAAAGTTCTATCCAAGCTGCTGGCAGCAATAGCAGGAACGTGCAGAGAAATCAGATTGCTAAAAGTGGAAGCTGCTGGTTTTTATGCAAAACTCTTCGCTCATGGAGAAAGGTGCATGGATGACGATCTTATTGGTGTGACCAAATTATTGTCAGATCTCCTAGATCTATCCGTTTTTACCAATCGAATGTCAGCTGTCGTACACTTGACTACCCAACAATTGGCAAGTCTATCTGGCGCCATCCATGAAATCTATTTACCCGTTCTACTAGAAGGCTTCATAGATCTATTTGTTATCCTTGTAACTCTCGACGAGATCGTCGACGCTCAACCAGCAATATTAGATCAGTGGAAGAAGTACAGGATACATGTGCGCTCTGTGATGCATAATCCATCGCAGTTTGATGTCACCAAGACAAAATTGGAAACATTTGATCATCTGCTCAAAGATCTGCAAGAGAAATTGCTACAAAAGAATATGTTTCTGAAGGCGATCGAGCATGTGATGGATGTAAATAAGGGTGCAGTCATGAGCGAGCAGATCATCAGTTATCTGAAAAATATGATTACAGATGTGGAAAGCAAATCCAACGACTGTGCCGCATTGAACAAGAACTGGATAAGAGCCAATGTCGGTGTCGCCGTGGTGATAAAGCTGTTCGGCGCTTGTGACAAAAAGCTGATCAAGAGAGTGCTGGAGACCAACAAGAAATTTTACGCGGTCACGTTGGTGGGGAATGTGATGTGGGTGCCTAGTAAGTTTCTCAGCAACGTCGTGCCAAAGGAAACTGGCAATGCCATAAACTCACAAATTGGCGAAAAGATTCTGCAGGCGAGAACGCAAAGATTGTCTGTCACGGTGAACAATCTGATACAACGAGGAACGACCTGGTGCGTGGAGATGCAGAGTATCCTTACAAGGACCAATCTCCAGGTATCAGACATCGGACAAAAGCGTACGCTGCTGATGGATTTGTTAGCTTTGTTGTCTCAGATGCGAGAGACTGTTGCATTTGTGACGAATCTGCACGCTTTACTGTCGAAGCCGATGAGTCGTGGCACAGTACAACTAATTTGCAGACTCGTAGAGTTGCAAAAGTCCCTGCAGACGACGTTTTACGCACTCGGGCCAGTTGTAGTGCAATCGCAGGCGCAAGTGCTGCAATACTTAGCTTACTACGTGCTAGTTATGCTGGAAACGGCGCGAAAAGCTCTTGTTCAGAGGGACAAGAGTTACAGCAGGGAACGCTTAGATGCGCTATCGCTGATAGGGCTGAGTATGCGGCTGATAAGTGGTCCAGCGAGCGCAGATAGACGGTTGATAGTGCGTTGCGCGTTAGCGTGCGCCACTCAGCTGACTGATACTTTCCGCGAAGAAGAAATAGTCAAACTACGGTTCCTGCTGGATAGTTATGATGCTGTGGCCGAGTTGTACGAGCTAGTCGATGAACACGGTGACTATTCGCTGCTGCTGCATCATCAGAACATGCTCCCCGCTTATCTCTCCTCGGTCGTCGACAGCAATATCGGCGTTTACCATATTACACATCTATTCGCTGCCTTTAACAGCGCCATGAGCGAACAGGAATTCGCTGAGCTAAAAATAAACCGCATTGCGGAACTCCGAGAAAGCCTAGTGAAAAGTGTATTAAAACCGGCCTGCCACGAAATCGAGACTAGCCTACGGCTGCACGTGCATGCTCATCTTAAACTGGACTCCACGAATCCCTTTAATATTGGCGCAAAAGACGGTAGTAGGATGGTGCGAGTCCTAGCGTTGCCTTTGGCCGAAAACATAGTTTGTACAAAGAGATTTGTCGAGCATTATCTGGACGATATGTTTTACAATTTGACGACAGTGGATGGGCTTGGACACGGTACAGGACCATCTGCCGACGCAGACTCTCGAACAGGGTCTGGACGCTCTAGAGATAATGCGTAACATCCACGTGTTCGTTTCCAGGTAACTAGAATTATTAAATATGATAGTATAAGAATGTTATAACTAATATTTAGAAATTTATTAGTATATTCATATTGTTTCATTGAAGATATCTATACAATCTGAACACGCAAACGTTCGTGGAACACAGCAGCAGCAACAAGCATCTAAACACCATCGGCATC